TCTCTCATGACCCGGTTGAATATTTCCGTTAGTGGCTTAGTGAGGGCATCTTTCCCAGCTATAATCATTTCGTTATTAATTCCGTCTGATCCTGGGCTTTTGCCTGGTTTAAGTTTCTTGATAGAGTGCTCTACTTCGTTTTCCATGAATAATGGCGCTGGGTCTTCATTAGACAAGTTTGGTGGTGTTATATTTAATGTATGGTGTTGAGTGTCATAGAGGTTTTCGTAATAACTAGTAGCTATGTATGTTATCTCCTTTCTGCTGGTTGCTAAAGCACCAGTCTTCGATTTTAAGTGACACATGAGGCTTTTTGATCTCTTTAAGCACTTGTAGGCTTTTTTGATAGCTCCTGACTCATTGATATATTTTTCCAAAGTTTGTAGCCTGTGATTTTGTTCGTTCGCTTTAATTTTATCGTTAATCTCTCTGTATAGCTTACTCAATTTGTATTTTTCTTGTTTTGTTTTCCCCTGTTTGTTAGCTAAATTGTGTCTTTGGTTGATGAGTTCTTTTATTTCCTCTGTTATTATGTTTTTCTTCTCGTTTATCTTTGGTATTTTTGCTTCTGCAACACTGTTGAGGATGCAGTTTTCGACTCTGTTGTAGTACTCTTGTAGGCTTAAGGAAGAAGAAGAGTGGGGGTTTTCACTGCAATGTGTTAATTCTTGTGTCAGAATATTGTTAAAGATCTTAGGGTCAAAGTTGGCTTGAGGTTTTTGCTTGTAGTGCTTCCGCGACTTCTTTCTACTATTCAGATTTAGCTCTGCTCTCACTATACGGTGGTCACTAGGAAATTTAAATCTGCTCAGAGTTTTTACATCCTCTATTATTTTTGGAACGTTAGTCGTAATGAAATCAATTTCATTTCGTGTGATTCCATCTGGAGATTTCCAAGTCCATCTCCTACATTGAGGTTTCTTGAACATTGTATTCAAAATTTTTAGTTGGTGTTGTTGGCAGAAGTCAATGAATAGTTCTCCTCTCTCGTTTCTGTCTCCGTAGCCGTATTTTACCAATGCCAGGCTGTCTTCTTCTGTGATTTGACCAACTTTTGCGTTCATATCCCCCATTAGTATTATGTTATTTGTGCTTTTTTCAGCAGCTTTCTGGAGACAATCGTAAAATGATTCTATATCGTGCATTTCAGCTCTTTCAGTGGGAGCGTAGGCTTCTATGATTGTGAATAGTTGTTCATTTAGTTTAACATGAATCAGGGCAACTCTTTCCGATATAGGAATGAAGTCTTGCACTTGGATATCGTTTGACTTTTTGACCAGGAAGCCTACTCCTCGTTCTCCTTTTGTTTCCCCATAGTTATATAACACATAATTTCCTTTGTCTTCTATGCTCCATCCTTGTCTTCTTACTTCAGAGATCCCAATGATGGACCATTTTATTTCTGACAAAGCGTGCTCAAGCTGTACTAGTCTCTCATTGCTAAGAAGGGATCTGACATTAAGTGTAGCTATGTAGTACTTATTGTTTTTTGAATTGTTTTTGCTTGGAGGGTTTAGGTCTACTGCCCCCGCGGTGACCAGCCGTGGTGGGGGAGATGTGGGAGTTGGAGGGGGCTGTGTTTTTTGCTATAGTTTCTCTACTTCAGTTCTGGGAGTATTTTTTGGGATCTGAAACGTGTCATTCTTGTTACTGCTTTCGGAGTGTCTTGATACGAAGGGTAATATTGTCTGGGACATTTGTGTGTTATTCGTAGTAGGATTGCCATTGGGTTTCCTGCCTTGTGTGTTTTCTGCATGTTTTTTCATGAGAAATTTCTTTGTTCTTTTCGGCTGTTGGTTGGCTTCAGTTTCATCAGAGTAGGTGTCAGGTGATAGAGATAAATTCCTTTTGGTGCTTTTTCTGTTGTCATCTATAATTATGATTTTATCGTATTTCAGTATTGCTTTGTTTCCTTTATCTCTTTCTTCTTTTAGTTTAGTTTGGAGTTCTTTGCGTTTGGCTATAACCTCCTTTGGATAATCTTCCTTGATGTAGAAAGGCGTGTTTTCAAATGATCTTTTCTTCTTCAATACGTGGATTTTTTTCCCAAGTGTTGTGAATTTAATTAGTATTGGTCTGTTTTTGCTCCCAGATTTCCTTCCCAATCTTGTAACTGAGTCAATGTCGATTTCATGTAGGTTAAGACCCGTTGCACTATTTAAAGTTTCCAGAACTAGGTTTTCCAACTGATGGTAACCACGTTCAGTTTCGTTAAGATTAAACAGTATTATATTTTTCTTTCTTTCCGTTTTCTTTAGGTTGTGGAATAATGCCTCATACTGTTGTACTTCTTTCTCAAGTTGTGTGTAGCGGTTCTCAAAGGTTTGAAACTTTTCATTTATGTTTGTTGTAATACTCTCCCGGGTTAGCTGAAGTTCCTTTTTCTGTTGTTCTCGAGTTAAATGAAATTCTTGTTTTTGCAGTTCAATTGCTTCTTGGATGTTTTTTAAAGTTTTAACTATGTCTTCCATTCTTATGTGTATTAAGAATTTTATAATACAGTACAACAGCAGTGGTGGCAAAATGTCAAAAAACCTGTGTGGTCGTGGTACTGGGCACCTATTTAAAACAATAATTTACAATTAATATTTAGTAGCAAAGTTTCTTTGTAGGTATGCATTAACAGAAAGGCAGTACCGTTTATGCAGTAAGTAGTAAGTATATCACACTATAGTATTTATTTTACTAGTTTACCTTTTAATTACATGCAACGGTGTGGATACAATAATAATATTTATAAATAGAGCGAACAGAATGAATCTATTAGTTACTTCACCTTTCAAATTCTGCAGAGTTAAACCCAAGTTTTAACTAGCGAAACTGTACTTGAACAATTTAAAAAAAGAAAAAAAAAACTTAGTTATTTGTTATTACATAATCTCAAAATTTCATAATAAATAAATCATTAGCTGCAGCAATTATCAATCATATAAATAATAATATATAAATCAATTGTTTACACCCTTAAGTTAACTAACTCATACAGTATTTTAATTGAGGAATTTATAATGTTAATACAATATTCAAAATTATAATCTCAGAATTTACATAGTAATTCAATGATTAGCTATAGCAATTATATTGTCAGACTATCTAATCAATTGTTCACACCTCTAAGTTAACTAACTCACACAGGATTTTAATTGAGGAATTTATAATGTAGGTTTTGTATTACAGTCCCAATTAAGTACTAGGTTTTTACTCAAGCTGTTAGTCGTCAATTGTGTTGCACTGTGTTTACACTTTTGTCACTTGTAAAATATTAATGTAATAATGTACTTTCAGTTTATCTGCGATCACTATTAGGTAGGTACATTACAGAGTCCCGAAGTTATACGATGTTAAGTGTTTTTCATAAGCAGCTGTAGTTCGGTGTCATTGACCTTGACACATGTCCTTTGGATACGGACGCCGTTTTTGGTTTGTATTTCACCGACGACACACTCAATTATAGTAATCACCCGTCGATATAGTTCCAATACATAATAATATGTCAATGTAACCACTTTATGATTTTGTAGAAGTAAGTGTGGTTGAATCTTGTAAAATGCCCTTGTGCATTTTTCTGTCAAAGTTCAAAGTTCAAACGGCTATAGCCCAAGATATTTTGTATTATTTCCCGATCAATTTCACTGTTTTACTTCATACTAGAAGGTCATTTGTGATGATATGCAGGTTGAAAATCAGCATTAACCTTTTACTTTTAATAGTTGTTTAAAAGATTTGACCGTTTGTCTTCAAGTTTGTCACCGTCTCGAAACGTTGTTTTTACTTATTTAAACGAGTCAATTTGTTGCAATTAAACTTTTCACATATTGGTCGCTCACTAATACAACTTATTTGAACACTTTTAGGCACTACTGGTTGATATTTATAATTTTTCCCAAATTGAAAAAACGGAGATACTCGAAATCAGTGTTGACAGCGTAACGCCCGCCTACCCTCCCATTTCTTTCTTTATCGGCCAGTAAATGCCCACTTATGGACACGTGACTCTCCCGTTGTACGGAGGATTTGACTTAATGATTACGCTTGGCGAATTGACATACGTATAATGGAAGTTACTTCTAGACCGACAAGTATAATTTAAAATTAAAAATTTTGTACAACCGACTTCAAAATAAATTATTAAGAATAACTTAAAACCTATTGGTCAGAGCTTGATCTACCACTACATAACGGGAGCCAGCTTTCAAATAAAAAAAAATATCATCGAAATCGGTTCAACCAGAAAAAAGTTATGAGGTAACACACATAACAAAAAAACATACAGTCGAATTGAGTACAGTCTCTTTTTTGAAGTCGGTAGAAAATATTACTTGTCTTTCTTTCATAATGGTAGCAACTTCTCAAAATACACCGAACAACACCTGCAAGTAGAGCACCCCTTTAATTAACGGAAGACACTGTAGCGAACGGCAAAAAACAATCGAAAATACTGAACCCAAGTACTCACTACTTGTCTTCGGGAACATTATTACCGATAGCTTATCTGCTTTAAATTCATAATTTAGGAGTGTGACCCTAACCTCTCAGGGTTGCACTGAACCTACTTTGTTAAAGTATTGTTTGTTAGATTTCAGGAAAGGTGGCTTTCCTCTTTCTAGCTTACATGCTTAATGCTTGCCAACCAGCCTGCCCAGCTAAATATGTGTAAAATTTTCAAAATATAATTTTTTTATTGAACCTAATATAGGCAGGCCGTATAGCTCTAAGAACCGACAACCGATGAAGAAGAAAGGTTCTCTAGTGAAAGATGTACACATGTAAAAGCCGACCTTCGCTGGATGGCGTGACGACTTAGTAATAAAATGTGCAGTCGATGGTTGTAGGTGGCTCAAGACTGTGCTTTGTGGCATTCTTTGTGGGAGACCCTGAGAAAATAAAATAAGTATATAAATAAATACCACGGCGGCTGGATATTATTAGTAAAACAAGTTGAGTATAACAACATTATTAATTTCATTTTTTTAAATTAATGTTTTCATTGTACTACTATTTTATTTAACGGCCAAAGGTTTGATGCCAATTTTCTGGGCCATAAGCTGGCAGGAGTCAATTTGTCCTTGCGGGTATATAATGGTGCCCTTACTAAGAGTTGTCTGCCTGATATTGCGTTCCTTATCACCTGGCGCAAGTACCGGTAACGACGGATCTACCTGTAACATCGTAATTTACATTACATGGCTTATGTTACAATATTTAGGTTAGAAACACTGTTTCAAAAGCGACATGATACTGACTAATAAGTTATGGAGAAATTAAGCAATCATTATTTAAAAATCGTAATGCTTGACTCGCTAAAACAATTAGATTATAGCTTGTAAACCATACGAATGCACCCACCACACACGCGCTCGCACACGCACGCGCACGCCCACGGCCATGCACACGCGCACGCACACACGTACACGCACACGCACACACACACGCACACACACACACACACACATACACACACGCACGCAAGCACGCACGTATGCATGCACGCACGCACGTGGTACACGATGAATCATTTATTTTTTGTTTTTTTGCACTAAGGCAACATGTATTCCGAATGTAAGTCATTTTAGTCTATAAATATAGAACTTGTTAATAAATTGACTACAGTGCCACCTATCGGATCCTAGCATAGCTGTAGATAGACCGTCTCAAAATATATAGAATATGATCTCAATCCGTAAAGTTATACGATCACTAATAGAATAATTTAAAATTTAAAATTTTGTACAGCCGACTTCAATACGAGTTATTAAGAATAACTCAAAAACTATTGGTCTAACCTTGATTAAATTCATATGGGACTACAGGAGAAGTACCAGCTTTCAAATAAAAATAGAATGATCCAAAGCGGTTCACCCAGTAAAAAGTTATGAGGTAACACACATTAAAAAAAAACATACATTCGAATTGAGCACCGTCTCCTTTTTGGAAGTCGGCAGATAAAATAGAATAGAATAGAATGATTTTTATTCAATATTGATTATTACATAATACTTATTGAAAGTCATTTTTTTATTTACCAATAAGATAATAGACGAATCAACAATTTTATAAAATATTATAAGAATATTATATAATATAAAGATCTTAGATGAAGCTACGTAAATGAACTGCAGTCATTCCAACCAAATAACAAACAAACAATGCTGCAGATGCTTTGTCTCTTCAGAGGTGCAAATTCTTGTAGCCTGTAATAAATACTCTTACCTCAATCCCCCTTTATTTGTATCGAGAGCACGGCAGATTCATGGTTGCTTGGCAGCAAAAAAATCTCCTCCAATATAATTAATTTGAAATATAAGACAAATTGTGGCCTCACAAAAATACTAAATGTAAAAACCCTAATAACACTGATTGCGTTTAAGATCAAACTTTACGTCATACAATACCGTTTTATAATATTGTTTTTTTACTTTTTTGATGTTCGGAATTTAAATAATCTTAGGGAAATAAAAAGTAGTTGAGAAAATTTTAAATTTAAAGTTTTCGTAATGCCTTATAAGAACTTGAAGTTTCAATGACCTTTTTATCAGTGCCGTAACCACCATGGCTCCGACGATGGCCGGTTTTATGGAGCAGCATTTTGATAAAAGAAAAGTCAGTTCTTGATTTAAATTTTCAATAATGCCAAAAAAAATGTGATTCAATGCCGATGTTTTTTGTTATTATTTATATTTCTTATTTTAGGTTACAAGGGGTTATGTTAAGAAAAAACGTTACGAAGTTGCGGAGTGATTCCCACGGGCAACGATGCTCACCAGACTTACACTATCACTGCTAATTGACACGAAAGATCGGAATGGTCTAATATCATCAAAAGCATCTAATACTAATCCGATCGGTTTCGTATAAAAATATATATTTATTTTATTCATATCTCTCGGCGAGACATCGCTCCACACACGGATACATGTCGCAATATTTACTATGGAATGTGGATCTCACAACGTTAATGTAGTTGTTGTGAATTATCATTTAATTTATCACCTACTACAAAATATCATCAATATTTCTATACACAAATAATATGTTCTTTTAACTTCATTTCCAAGAAAAAAAAACACATATTATAAAGTTCCCTCTCTATTCTATTTTTTATCTTTATCATTATCATATATCCATTAAAGAATTGTTTTGTCCGTTTGCGCGTGCAGCACAAGAAACTGCCGTTTTTTTAATGTTGTTTTATAGTAAATTGCTTACAATCATTTCAAACCGAAATCCCACTAATAGGATTATCAGTTTAAATTTGCAAATCAACACTTACCAACTAACCACGGCAGGTGGCCTAGCTTAGTTAAAAAATCTTTAAACACCTTTGCAGTACAGTTACCATATATACTACTACGAATCCTTGATTTAATTACTACGGAAATAGAAAGTTTTTAGACTCCAAAATCTGAGAGGCAAAAAAGCGACTTTGTTTTGAAAGCGTTATTAATTTTTATCCTCTTAGAACAATACGTACTTTGTCAGGATGAATGGTTACATCAATAAAGTAAATTTAAAATTTGACATTTATCACCGTCGTCATCATCATTACAGCCTATCGAAGTCCTATATAAAAGTCCTATATAAAACATAGACCTTCGCCTTACATTGTCTTATATCGGCAATAATTGCCAGAGTAACCATGCTTGGCTGGCGGGTTGGCTACCGCCGTTTACTATTATTTTAAGTTGTTGGAATATAATTATGAGTTGGAAGATGTTGCTGCCCATCTCCTGTTTCAGTTTCCACCTGTTGCCTCTTACGATATCCGTGGTATGTTATGTGGTAGTGGTTTCTAGTGGCCACTACACAGAGAAATTTTTGGAGAAAGTTTTGCGTTATTTGCTTCTTATTTCAATCACGAATTTTATGTAACTTAGTTTCCAATATAACTACGTAGTACTATTATCTATTCTAGTCAACTTAGAATATGTAAACTGTAAAGTGAACAGAACAAAGCTGCCGGTAATGATATTTTTAGAAACTATTCCACTTCCGATATGTTAGAAATTATTCTCAAAATTATTAAAATAAAATAATGTTACTCGTATTAAAATTTACTCTGAAGGTTAATTGTTAAAAATAATAAAAGTGTGAGAGCGGATGTTCAACTTGCTCTCTTGCTTAAGCAATTAATCATTATCAGGAATAAGATAGCGTACACCACTACACATTCAATATAGAGCAAATACAGTTCGACCAACCATAATATGTACCAGTCACAATCACACATTGGTGTAACGTGATGGACATAATTACATGATTACACCAAAGTATGCAATGTAACAGTAACACTAGTCATCTCAATATAACACCTCCTCCCAGCGACACCACCTTCCTTGCTTACACTAGAAGAACTACTTCACGAACAGAACCACATCAATTGCCTTACTTAGGCAGAATCTCAGTATAGAGGTAATGTTTTAGTCCAACGGGAATAATAACGGCATGAGACTCATAGAATTACCGACTGATGCCTCTTAAGGCGGATTCGACCAAATACCATGTTACTCTAGAGTAACTAACCCTCGAATAATTTTACTCTTTGGTCTTAATCTCAGATAACTTCGTTTGCGTTTTTCCAACACAAACGTAGAGTAGCTAATACTGGGTATTGTTACTCTAAGAGTTGGTGAAAGAAAATGAATGAACATGTAAGCCAACTAAAATCGAAATACAATTGTTTATATAGCACAATGCAAGATTTTCTGTCCACTTCGTTTTGCCGGATTATATTAGTGTCAACTGTCACTGAACACCAGAATATTAACACGAGTCGAGTTGTTAGTTAATTATTCTTCTAATCTGATTCTTATGTTCTATATTTCGTAAATGTTGCATTATTTCAAAAAATAATCCCTACTATTATCATTTATCACAAAAATACAAGAAATTATAAATGCACAACGATAAAATATCCTACTTTTTAAACAAAGCATACGAAAACAGCTGTTAAAACGTAGCGGCCGCAATTAAAATACTCTGGGATAACTTGTTTACTCCATGAATTTTGGCGGTATAACAATTTACTCTCGGATAGACAGTTATACCAGGGTGTTAAGATTTGGTAAAATGAAAGTTCTCGAGAGTTTTTTTTTATAGAAGAGGGGGAAACGAGCATGCGGCTCACCTGATGGTAAGTGACTACCGCCACCCATGAACAACCGCAACACTAGGGGAATTGCAGATGCGTTGCCGGCCTTTTAGAAAGGTGTAAGCTCTCTTCTTGAAGGTTCCTAAGTCGTATCGGTCCGGAAAATTCGCTGGTGGTAATTGATCAAGGAAGTTGTGCGATGGAGAAAACTTCTTCTAAATCGCACAGTGGTGGACCGCCAATCATCCAGATGGTATGGATGGTAACGCGAGTTTTGTCGCGATGTGCGATGGTGAAATTGAGCGGCTGGAATTAGTCCGAACAATTCCTCAGAGCACTCCCAATGATAGATGCGATAAAATACGCAAAGAGATGCAACATCTCTACGCAGTGCCAGTGTATCGAGCCGATCAGAAAGAACTCGGGCGTCGACGATTCGAACCGCTCTGCGCTGGATGCGGTGAAGTGGAAGGAGCTGGCACTGGGGTGCCCTGGCCCAGAGATGAGAACAGTATTCCATGTGGGGCCGAACTTGCGCTTTGTAAAGTTGCAAGCGATGTGCCGGCATGAAATACTGTCTCGCTCTGCTGAGCACGCCAAGCTTTTTAGAGGCCAATTTGGCTTTCCCTTCCAAGTGACCATGAAACTGCACACTATTCGATATGTCGACGCCAAGGATTCCAATACTAGCTGAGGCAGCAAGGGGAGTGCCTTGAAACTGAGGAGATACGACAAAGGGGTTCTTTTTAGCGGTAAACGCGCAAACTTGTGTCTTCTGGGGATTGAACTGGACTAGATTTAGTCGGCCCCAATCCTAGACTTTCTTAAGCAAAGACTCGACTTCAGACACAAGTTTGTCCCGGTACTCAGCGACGTTTTCCCGAGAAATATTGCCACGGCCGGTATATAAGGCATCACCAGTGCTGTCGTCTGCATAACAATGAATGCTACCAGTTAGCAACATATCATTGATATACAGGAGAAACAGCGTTGGTGATAGCACGCAGCCTTGTGGAACACCAGCGTTGATAGGCTTGAAATCAGAGCATGCACCGTCTACTACGACCTTGATGCTCCGATCAACAAGGAAACTGGTGATCCATTTGCACAATTTCTCGGGAATCCCATAGGAAGGAAGAGAGTAATTAGTGATTTTATTTTCAGGATAAGACTTATACCAAATTTGGTCGAATCCGCCCTAAGTCAGCTGCTCGATACTTAATAATGCTGAAACAAGTGGGAGACTACAGTTCCACCTTCAACTCTTCTTACTTTCTTTTATTATTTTACCCTCATTCCTAACAATATTGACTATAAAGTCCTTCTGATGGTGCCCAAAGAGTAGAAGTAAACAAAAAAGGACTGGCCCTTTGTTACTTTACCTTGTCAATGTATTGCTGGTGCCATAAATAATTGTAATATGGCAACCTATAGTTGTACAATGAAGTTTAGTCGCATAAAAGTCATCATGTACAGCCATATGCAGTGTGCAAATATGTTTGTTCTAACTCTAAGTGTGTAAATATAATCACAGACAAATAATTATGATTCCAAACAATCATCAAGTAATATTATTCCAATAATAAAGCAATTAAATATATTACAGTTTGGAGAGGCGACGTAAGAGATTACACTACCCCATATCATCCAGAGGGTGTCAAAATGTAAAGGAAAATGAAACAGGAGTAGGGCAGCAGCTTCTTCCTGATAAAAATTCTCAAAATGATAAAAACTCTGATTGTCAAACTTCCTTCTAGGCGTGACAATTATGGCACATATCACTTTTATGAGGCGATCAATGAAGGAGAACTGTATTTAGCAGTGGAATTGATTAGGCTGTAACGGTAAATGGTATGGTCAGAAAAAAATATCAGTCAATAATAAAATGACATATTTTATAGTAAAATATTAATATTGGACTGTGAATCATTAGGAAGGTATTATATCTTAAAATCGCAGTGGGTTGGGGGATCAGATACATCATTTTTACTTTAGAGACTATAATTACGGTTACAAATCTGAAACCCCGTGGTTCAGTAAAGTACGTCAGCCACTAAGGCTTGAAAAATATTTGTAAACACAACTATAACTTACTGGTTCCAAATTCCTCCAATGCTGTAGGCAGCCAGCGACACGCTCGGCAAAGCCTGGAGCGAAACACTCGGGGTCTATAGCCACAAAACATTGTCCTAAATTTGGCGCAGTGTCCTTATCGAACGTCCATGATGGAACTTTGTATGAAGGGTTTGAACCTAGATGATAAAGTTTATTTAACACGTTTATTCTTATTGAACTTCAAAATCTTTCTAATTTTGTGCTTATTTTGACGATTCTTTTAACCACATTCTTATTAACTCCCTTTCTTCTCTGTTTGTCTCCTCGGTTCCGATTTTGAAATCGATTAATGAACTTCCGAGAAATTCGAAAATTTTTATATGCCCCAAAACTGGAAATGTGGTAAAAAAGTGTTCCGAACTACTCGTATAATTTCTTATTAATTAGTACCTACTCTTCTAGTAAATACCTCAAGTATTTGGCTTATTTTATTGTTTCCATTAAAATGTAAAGAAAAAAAATAGAGGCAGCCATAAGAACTTCTGACAGAAGTGAAAACTCCATAATATATCCGACGCAAAGTAGAGTTCATGACAAGTTCATCGGTGACGCAAACCTATAAGTTTTTCCCCTAACAATAATCGCTCAACGCGACTAAAGAAATTTTCACTTCAAAATTGTTTCCCAAGGGTGGTAAAATAGAGGTTGAAAATTTCAATGTAACTATTTAGATGACAGTAGTTGCAAAGTTGAGGTTGTGATATTGCTTTGTCTACTTATAAGGGTCAAAAATTAAATTTTTAAGAAAAAGTAAAAATACAACTTCAAATATCCAACTAAAAAGGACAAAATGATTTTCACACAATTTAAAAGCTTCTGAACTCGGTGCATCCAAAAATCAAAGCCTCGACTTTAGAAGCAATTAAATTATGTTTAATTTTGAAAACTAATTTTATTATTTTAAGATTTTTTAAATTCGAATTTTATTTTTTTAAGTATTTATTATGTCTTTTCGTTATCATCACTATTACAGCCTTTCACAAGTACTCTGCTGAACATGGATATTGACCTCCTCCTAGGAATGACACCACACACGGTCCTGAGCCATCTGCATCACAAAATTATTTTTAATTAATTCAAAGGTAGGTAGGCAGAAAAAGATAAAGTAACAGTTTATATTCGCTCTACTACAAGACCTTTCCTCATTTCTGAAAGGGTTTTTAGGTAGGAAAGAGTACAACGCTTTGCCGAGCTGCGTGTTGATAGATGTCACACGCCTTCAATATACGCATATTTCACAATATTTGAAAAAGTATCAGAATAGCGACTACAATTCGAGAACAAAACCATATCTGTTAAAGTTCACTGGTGAACATAGGCCCCCCTCTAGAAAGCCTCATAGGGGGAGGGGGGATATTTGCCATAGTTGCCACGCCTGGCAAACGGATTGGCAACCGCAGTTTTTTTCATTTAAGTCGTTATTAGGAAGACGCTGCTCGTCGCGTCTCATCTCCTGTTTTGTTTCCCTCTGTCGCCTCTTACGGTACCCACGGCATGATATGGGGTAGTGGATATTCTTACATCGTCACTAAACCATTGGGTCATTGAATAAACTGTTACGGGCTGGCTAAATATATTTCGGTTTTTCCTTGCTCGCTCTCCGGTCGTGTCGTATTGCTGTCCCATCCGACTATGGGAGTGAAGGAGTACCAAATTACCATCTGGAGGATATTTTTACTTAAGATCCTTAGGAATAAAAAGAAATATTTTTTTACCGGAAAGGCCACTGCAGAACATTTCAATCATTGTGCTCAGGCAGAAACCCTTGTGTCCACTTGTTCCTTCAAGCCCGCCTAGTGGCAGTAACTTAGCTGTTTTAAATGCCTGTATGTATAAAATAATAATATAAGACTTTAAAAAAAACTTAAACAACACTCATTGATCATAAGCTGTGATGATCCTGATAATTACGTGGTAGAGCCATGCTGCAGCTATATTAGTAGTATCTATAGTTGTTGCACGAATAGGTCGGCTCGACCGGAGAAGGACCACGCTCTCACAGAATACCAGCGTAAAATGGCAGCTTTACACTGCTGTGTTTCGTATGGTGAGTGTAGAGAACTGGAGACCCGTTTTACGGGAAAAGAGGCATTCCATCTTAGTCCTCACGGGTGACAACGCATTTGCATTGATTCTTTATTGAGGATACATGTGGATGTCTATGGGTCACAGCAACCACTTACCATCAGGTGGACTGTGTGCTCGTTTGTCACCCTTATCCTATAAAAAAAATATTTTATTTTATCCTGGTGATCCTGATCAGGATACTAGGATAAAGTTATCAAATTATTGTATTGTCATCAGTCCTTGATACAAGTGCAAATTTTGTTGGTTGTTATGTAAATTTTGTAAGTTGGTGAATATTACATTAAAATATTCCATTATTATTAAAAATAAAATTACAGAAAATTATAGATAGATACACGTGAAGCTAATAAAAACGTATTGAAAAGGAATATTTTATGAGTAGTAGAGCCATGCTGCAGCTATATTATGGTTGTAGCACGAATGGGTCAGCTCGACCGGAAAGCTGCGGTGTTTTTATGGTGGGTGTAGAGGAGATCCGCAGATCATTTTTACTGGAACCGGGGCATTCTAGATGTCTATGAACCACATCTACTTAGCAGCAGGTGGAGTGTAGGTCGTTTCTCACCCTTATTTTATAAAAAAAAATATGAGAATTTATGTTTATTTATTACGTAGTAAGGTTGCTTTCCTTCCTAAAGTGCGCCTGGATTGGAACTACCCTTTCCAAACTTTACTCTCGCCAAAAAGCATTGCTCCCATTACTGTTGTCCAGTTTGAAAGGAAAAGAACCAGGTAAAAATAAAAATTGAGGAAAGAATAAAAACCAATTTCAAAAAATAAAAACAATCAAATAATTTCCACAGAACATATTCACAGTTGGTGGTAAGACATAGTGTATCAAATAATTATAACACCAACTTCATAAGCTGTTATGTGGTAAGTAATTATTATTTTTAAATTCTTTTAGTTTTTGAAGTCAATTTTTACTTTTCATTAAGAGTTTAACTTTTTTATCTTTTTGAGTGGACAGGGGTATGACCACGCCTGAAGAATAACGTATAATATCTATACAAATAAATAAAATTGAAGTGTCTGTTTGTAAAGTCAAAATAAAATTTTTTTACTAAATGTATATAAAAGTAAATACGGTACTTATAACTAAAATACAATTTTTAAAATGTTTGTCTGTCTGTCTGTCTGTTTGTTCCGGCTAAACTCCGAAACCGCGGGACCGATTTTGACGGGACTTTCACTGGCAGATAGCCGATTTCATAAGGAGTAACTTAGGCTATTTTTATTTTAGAAAAAGAATTAGGATTCCGCGACAAAACAAAAAAACCCTAACATGCGAGCGAAGTCGCGGAGAACATCTAGTCTAGTAAGAAATATAATTTAAATCGGTTTCGGGAAATCGGTGAACATACAAACATCATATGCGTCGAATAATAGAGCCTTTTTTAAACTCAGTTCATAACAGGTTGTGAGGCATTTCTTCTTAGTCCTCAAGGGTGACAACGCATCCGTAGCTCTCTTTGTCTAAAATTGATTACAAGTATAGGTACGTGGACTATTGTGTTGAAGCTCTATGAAAAAAAGTTCAATGACATTTCTAAGAAGATTTGCTAATTTATTTATACAGGCGTTCCAAAGTAAATGTACAAAATTTTAATATTGATAACAATAAATCAATACGAAATACGTGTCATCATCATTACAACTTTTCACAAGTCCACTACTGAACATAGACCTCCCCGAAGGAATGGCACAAAGCACGGTCCTGAGCCACCTGCATCCATCAACTTCCTGCACGTCTTACCAGGTCGTCATTCCATCTAGTGGGGGACGCTCTACACTTCGTCCGTCGGTACGAGGCCGCCACTCGAGAACCTTTTTTCCCCATCGGTTATCGGTTCTTCGAGCTATGTGGCCGGCCCATTGCCACTTCAGCTTACTAATCCATTGGGCTATGCCGGTTACGCTGGTTCTACTGCGAAAGTCCTCGATTTTTAAGTCTATCACGTAGAGAAACCCCGAGCATAGCCCTCTCTATAGCTCGCTGAGTGACTTTGAGCTTCCTCATACGGCCAGCTGTGTACCATGTCTCAGATCAATGGGTTATCACTGACAAGCCGCAATAGTTGCACAATCGTGTTTTCAGACTTTTAGGTATGTCTGACGAATAGATATGTCGTAATCTCCCGAACGCTACCCAGTCAAGTTGAATACGTCGATTGATCTCTCGGTCGAAGTTGGACTTACATAGTCGGACTTCTTAATCCAGGTAAACACTCGTTAACAACTTCGAGCTTAGTGCTTCCAACATCTACCGGCATTGGTGTGATAAGGACGTTACACATGACTTTCGCTTTGTCCATGTTCATGTAACAACCTATCATTTGGGTGAGACTATTGAGGTCATTGAGCATATTGCTTAAGTCTATATCGTCGTTCTGCCATAAGAACTATATCGTCAACAAATCGAAGTTGAGTGATGTACTCGCCGTTAATGTTAATACCTTATCCTTTCCAGTCCAGAAGCTTGAAAACGTCTTTCAATGCAGCGGTGAAGAGTTTCTAGGATATAACGTTACCCTGTCTTACACCTCTCTGCAGTTGGATAGGTTTCGTACTCTGTTTCTATACTCGGATAGCCATCGTATCCCCACTATAAAAAAAACACTTCAGCACTTGGATATACTGCCAGTCTACTTAGTATATTCATCGAGAATGACTCTCAAAACCAACACGTAGAAGTGGCTCAGAAGGGAAATCGGACTGTAGTTCTTCAAGAGAGCGTTGTTGCCTTTGTTGTATAACAAGACCACCACACTTCTGCTCCAAACTTCCGAAGCAATGCCACCATGGAGGATGGAATTAAAGAGCTTCTGACGAACTTCAAGTACTGGTTTTCAGAAGCTCCGCTGTAATTCCATCATCGCCCGAGGCCTTGCCGTTTTTAAGGCGATGGAAAGTCATCCTAATCTCACGCAGACTGACGTCATCGAAGCGATATAATCGGAATAGTTACTCGGATAAGACTTGCTCTTGGATCATTACAATTGCATGTGGCTCCAACGACGACGTGCGTGACGTACAGCTGAAAGACACAAAATCTCAGGTTTCCCAGAAACGATGTTGCCACACTCGGTATTCATCTTTGGCAGTTGGCTCTTTCTGGCAGACAGATCTCTGGTAAAGACTTTGGAGCCTTGGTGCCGCTCGGTCGCTTCTTCAATACAAGCTGTATTGAAGTTATGTAAGTCCCGCCGCATGCATTTGGAGATCTATCTGTTCACTTGCCTGTATGCTGCCAAATCTGTTGAAGACTGCAGCTTCATTTTCCGTCTAACAGCCATGAGATTAAGAGTATGATCGGAGAGTTTTTGTGGTCTTCTGCGGCGGGTCTTGCAGAACTTAACTCCGACTGCACGGACAATTTCCAAGAGCTTATCACTCATATAGTCCACTCCATTGCAGTTTTCTAGCCACTGAAAACGGTTTTGTAACTCGAGCTGAAAGGTTTCGGGACTTTGGACTAGAGCACGAGGAGGACGAAGCGTTGACTTCATTAGACGAGACCTCTCCAAATTAACGTTTAACTTTAGTGTGTCTCTAACCATTCAGTGATCGCTACCAGTTTTCACCCTCGCGATCAATGAGACATCACTGAACAGTAGTCGTCCGGTCGTCATAATGAAGTCAATCTCATTTTTTGTCGAACCGTCGAGGCTCAACCAGGTACACTTCCTGTGGGGCCGCTTCTGGAAGAAAGAGTTCATCATAAAGAGTCCCTCCTTCGCCATGAAGTAAGCCAGCTGCTGGCCCTTTGGATTCCGTTGCCCTATTTCAAATTTTCCTACCTTCAGCTCACTGTTTCTCTCTTGTGCCTGGTTTTGCTTTGAAGTGTCCCATTAACACCGTGGGTTTTGGAGGAATGCATGGCTCTGGTGACATACTCATACATTTCCCCCACCTCCTCGTCACGATGTGCCGAGGTTGGTTGGTATATTTTGTATGACCTTCAGCGAATATCGTTTGATGATTCTGAGTATTGGGTACGCAACCCTCGTCGACACAATCCTAATCTTTACAACGTTGTAAAAGAGAGACTTGTGGACGATAAATCCAACACCTCCTTGACCAGATAACCATCCTCACCCTCTCTTTGGACCTCAGATAATCCTATAATATCCCAGCGCAACCTTTCTATCTCTTCTTCCAGCTCCAGGATCTTCTCGTCAGCTCAGCATGCATGCGTTATATGTTGCCAGGTCGAGTCATCTTAGGTGGCAACCGGACCTTCACTTGAGATTGTTAGCACCCCCTTCCCCACCGTTACCATGCCGTAACCAGGAACAGCGGAGCCATCCAGCGGGGACTGGTAGTCGTTTCTTTGTAGCTTTTGCCAAGGGGGGGTAATATTGCCATAGTTGCCATACCTGGCGAGCGCGTCAGCAACCGAAGATTCTTTATTGTTATTTTGCTGTTATCAGAAAGATGCTGCTACCCATCTCCTACCTCAGTTACCCCCTGTCGCCTCTTACGAAACCCACGGGAAGATATGGGGTAGTGGATATTCTTAAAAGAACTACAAGAGCTAACTGACCTCGACTGATGCTTGCACACATTTACACAATTTCTATTTAGCATCAGGCCTCGATCGGCACTGTCAGTACATATACACAGGCGTTTACGCACACCGCGTACGTATTATGTTCAGAACGCGATTTAAAAAAAAAGCTATTGATGGCACTAAAATATTAAAACACTATTTACGTTAATATGTTGCTTGTATA